ATTTCTTCAAAAATCTGGAAAGAAAATGAACTGCGAGTAATCTTTTGATATGCTGCTACGTGTGCTAGTAGTGAGATGTCGTGAAGATCCCGTGAACTGGTTTGTGTCAAGTGGGAAAACGAAGGAAGATGAGAAGAGCAACGCAACACATTTTCCTGGTTTCTTTGTTTAGATTTTAGGACGGAATCATCATCATCATTGACTAAAGACAGGACCTTTGTTAAATACCACGTACGAAGTACTTAAATGTCTACAAGTTTGACTTTAGATATTCTTATTGCATTAAAAAAAAGTTAGATTCTACCGTACCCTTAAGGTATCATATTCTTTGTCTATGGACCAATCAGAATGATACAATTTAATTATTTAAATCTAAATTAAAAGTGATTTAATAGTGTGGATCAATCAAGTGAATGGTACCTCATTTTTTAAATGGGTACCGAAGTTGTCACCTTAAAAAAAATTAGAACAATGGTGATTGCAACGAATAAATTGCATAATTTCATCAATGAACTACTTCAAAAAACAAAGTCATTCATTTATTGTGTTCAACATTGTTCTACGATGAAACTTTTTTAATCGTCAAACTGAAAAGCTTTATTAACCAAATAAATCGTTAGCAAAATGGCTAGCAATACAATTCGAAGCATAATCATAATCAATAGACTGATCTGAGACATAGACATGATCCTTAGCCAGAGTATGAGTCACATGATTCGAAGATGTTTTACAGAAAGAGATTTTGAAATTACTCTTTATTTCTAACAAATTACGGATATCATCAATAATGAAATGTGCATATGCAGCTCCTTCGTTCTTCCTTAGGCTCTGAACCACCGTGAGTGCATATGTCTCTATCTCCACCTGCTGCCAACCCTCCTCACTTGCTCCCATAATGGCATCACGGATCCCCATGGCCTTCGTTTCCGTCCCGAACCGCGAGCTTTCACAAAGAAACCTTCTTCATCTCTAGTCACCCAACCCCAAGCACCTCCCGCTTGATTAATCACGTCATCAACATTTATTTTTATGATCCCTCCCGTTGGCCGTCACCATTTCCCCTCATCGGCCCTCCTCATCTCCACCTACTTATTCCCCGTCGACTCATGCACATCTCTCCAAGCTAACATGTTGCCCGCCACCCTTAAGACAGTGGAAGCCTCCTCGATTTGATCCTTCCAAACCGCTCCATTTCTTCTCTTCCAAATACTCCATAGAATAGCAACAAATCTCCCACAAAAAAACTTTATCTGGTAGCTCAATATTCCGCCAAATCCACTGCCCGACCGAGACTTGCTGTCCGTCGATCTGCACACCTGCTTGCTGCTAAACGTCCGCCTCCTTTGGACATAGTCTCAGTGCATGATCAGCACTCTCATCCATCGAGCCACATAACTTGCAACCTCCTACAATATTCACTCCTCTCGTTTTCAAGTTATCCACCGTGGCCAACGTTCCATCAAGAGCTTATCATGCAAAATATTTGAATTTCGGTGGCACCTTTAGATCCCATAACAATTTCCAGTCTTTGCTACGCCCCCTGTTGTAGGTCTCCCATCAAAATTCTATAGCAACTTTTAACCGAGAAAAGACCATTCCTCTCTCCCGCCCATCAGAAGCCGTCCTTCCTTTCTTGTAAGCTAATCGGGATGCACAAAATTTTATCACTATCAGCCTGATTAAATAATCTGCTAATTCTCTCATAATGCCACTTTCCCCCCGTGCCATCCCATAAAGCCATCACATTCACATCTCTTATTCTAACCGGTTTTGCAGGCGTGATCTTCCCTGAAACCGTCCCTGGTAACCATGTGTATGCCCAGACTTGGACATCAATGCCGTTTCCCACTCTTCTTCTAATATTATTTTTGAGAACCCCCTGTGTCTCGAAAATACTCCTCCAAATAAAAGAGGGATTATTCTCCAACTTTGCTTCTAAAAGTTAGAATTGGGAAAATACCTGACTTGTAGCACTCGACCCATGAGGCTTCCTGATTCGGTGATCAGTCTCCACCCCTGTTTTGCTAGCATAGCTAAATTAAATTCTCTTAATCTTCGAAGTCCCAAGCTTCGTGCTTCTTTTGGCTTGCACCTAGTTTCCTACTTCCTCTATCTCAGCCCTTTCTGTTCAAATTTTGAGCCTCTCCACCACAAACCGTTTATCAGTTTTTCCACATCATCACATAAATCCTTAGGCAGTAAACACACATTCATAGCATAAGTTGGCATTGCCTGGATCACATTCCTCAACAAAATAGTTCTCCCAGCCCGAGATAAAAAACGGTTATTCCAATTTTTAATTCGGTTGAAAATACGGTCTCTCAAGTACCCCAATATCACCGATTTATTTTGCCCAACTAGCGCCGGCAGCCCCAAATAAAGATTATGTCCGCTCTCCCTCGGTATACCCAACTGATGGCTACAAAAAACTTTAAACTCTTCCCCCATGTTCTGGTTGAACGCTAAGGTGAATTTATTAAAATTTACCATCTGTCCCGAGAGCTCTTCATAATTTAATAAAATATTTTTAACCGCCACACATTCATTGATGGAAGCTTTAAAAAATAAGAAGTTGTCATTTGCGAACAACAGTTGAGACACCCTTGGTGCTCCCCTGCAAACTGTCACTCCATGAACCTCCCCCTTGCTTTTGGCTCTCCTCAACATGGCACTCAGCCCCTCCGCCACCAAAATAAATAAATACGGAGATAGTGGATCCCCCTGTCGCAACCCTCTCTTCGGTATAATGGGCCGCTACTACCATCGCTGTCCGAACCTGCAAATTGTCCATATCCCAATTTGTACAGGACTTCTTTCGCACGTTGGCAGTTAGTCTTCGTTTCCATGAGAAAAAATATTGCCGGTCTATGGCTCTGAGTGATATCCGTCACCCCTTGGACGGTAGCCAAATTCCTCAAACCTCAACAATTCCAACTCACCGAACTCATTCCTCCTCCAAAGCTGAGAACCAAGCGAATGCCCACTACCTGGAATCCAACCAAAGGAAATCGCCGATTGCAGAGAAGTCATTCGACAGCAAAACAAAACCTTAATTTGGACGTCGTAATGCCAAAAAGAACAACAGAGATTGGAAGGCCAGAGCCCACGATCGGAATTGGTCGCCGCCGGAGAAGAAGGCTCTAGCGGCTAAAAAGCCCTAGAGAGAGAGAAAATAAAAACATCTCAGCGTTTTTTCCTTCTAAGATGAAACTTAGCATACCACAATATTAAGTTAAAATTGTAAAACTAATTTGTACTATTGGATTTTATTTTATGAAATAACTATTATTTCATTTAAGATTTAAAGCCCTGTTCTCTTAGAGCATCTCCATTCATGATACTCAAGTTTACGATTTATGTCTTCTTATTGTCATGTCACTTCCACATAAGATTATCTCAAATAATCTCCAAACCTATCAATTTCTCTTCATCCATGAACTTAATTTACCTAGACTTTTTATGAGACATGCACGGACTACAAAGCTAGTCATCACCTTAAAGTTGGAAATAATCTCAAAATAATCTAGCTTTAGAATTTGATACCAGATTATTTGATCAAATAATCTCAACTCCTCATCCATGATCCCAAAAAAAATCTTCCACATCATCAAAATGATACCAAAAATAATCCATGGATGGGGATGAACTTAAAGTGAAAATTAATTTCTCTCTCACACACACACCCGATATGCTGACTTTAATGTTGGAAAGATTGAATATCTAATTCTTTAGTTTTAGATGAATCAGCAATACTATGTACACTTTGTATGAAAAATAACACGAGCAGATTGCGAACACTATCAAGTATCAATGAGTCGATGACTAATAAATAAAACTGTACCCGAAAAAGAATTTTGAAACCATTTTAAAGAAACATAAACAGAAAATTGCTTCCTGTAGGGCTCAATCATAGCACTTTTATAAAAATAGTACCTACGTACGTTTTTTCCTTGCGTAAGAGCCATGTAGTTCTATTTTTGAAAACTGGATTTTAAACTTCCAATTTTACCCTTCACTTACTGTTTTACGTGACCTGCTCTGCTATTGAGCTATTATCAAAATTTATTGCCTGTTTAATGACTACTTAATGTCTATGTATTGCCTGCTATTGAACCTATTGATTTTGGATCTGGTTTCTTCAAACGTTTTGCAGAATTCCTGTGGCGTTGTAAAAATATGAAATAGAAGTTCGAAATTAGCAAAATCAATGTCCAAAATCAGAAAAGAAGAATTAAAATGTTTGATTAAAAAAATTCCAAAACCAATTATTGAAATCCATGTTCGGATCTATCTTTTCAGATCTTAAACACAGGCCAAAGCCTTGCATTTTGGATCTATGTTTCTGGATCTTAATATCAGATCCAATCCTTCTATTTTCGGATCTATGATTTTAGATCTTAGATGGAAAACAAAAAAAAAATTGAAAGAAGAAAAAAGAGGACGAATGAGGATGTTGTAGGATGAGGAGGAAAAGATCGTAGGATGAGGAGGAAAAGATCAGAAGAGAGGAGGAGGAACAAGAAGAAGACGAGGAGGATGAAGAAGAGCCAAAAACCTGTTATTCACTTGAGTATTAGAAATCGGAGAAGAGAGGTGTCGATGGTGAAGGCGAAACCGGCGAAGAGAGGAATCGTCGATGGTGGAGGCAAAACCGAGCTAACGGAGGTGGCGGCGGCGGAGTAGAAGCCTGGCCGGGAAGACCAAGGTAAAGGAACTAAGGTGAAGTTTATTGCAGAGGTGACCTGCTCTGTTGCGTGAGTTCTCATTTGGGACGGCCGAATTCTTTTAAACGACGGGCAACGGGGCAAGTGTTGAAAGAAAAAGGGCAATTTAGTCAAAGCAGGTGTACTTTAAGTCTTACCCTAATCTATAGTCTTAATTTTGGAAAATTAGTATGATTTGGTCCTACTTGTTGAAATCTCTCAAACATAAATGTCTTGTAGAGAATACACTTGTAATCTTAATAGGAAATTCTGTTTTTTGATTTTTTTTCACATGTTCCTCCTTGAACAAACAAAAAAGAAGAAGAAAAAACTATTATTTCTCAATGTTGTCAACTGAAACAAGTGTTCTTTTGTTAAATTTATCAGAAATACATTGTGTGCTATGTCTGGGGGGTAAAGCAGATTGCCAACCACGATAGAATGAACAATTAGAAAACCCAAACACAACCCTTTCACCAATCACTACTCTCCTCCCCCGCCAACAGGAAGGAAATCAAGACAAGGCACCAAGCCAGCCACACCATTTGGGGAAAGTACAGGTGACATAATGCCCTACTAAATTAAATTTACTACTGTAGGACCAAAATCACACTCAGGTCAATTACCACCATCAAGAGCCCCAAGAGCTTTCATGTCTTCCAGGAATGCCATATAAGAGTCATCAATACTTGGTGGTTTTGGCTGAGTTGTTCTGCTAGATTCTTGCTTCGAAATTTCTCTACTAAATGTTGGCTGGTGGTGGTTGCTCACAACTATGGTTGTTGATGCCTTTGGTTTAGACTTCGGAAGTGTAGATTCTCTCTTCACACGTACAGATGCAGGAACCTGCAAACATACCAATCAAGAGAGCAAGAACAGTCTGGTTAAGGGTGAATTTGGCTGAAATTGCTCTGATAAAAATTTGGTCCAAACATATTGTACCAGTAAATAAAGACAAAATGACCAATTATTCAGCTACTTCAACCACTTTTGTCAGTTATTAACCCATGAGCTTTGGCAGCTGAATAAATTAGTGTTGGTATAAAAAATTGATAAGCCAGAAAACATTGGCTAGGACTAGCAATCACTATGGTAACTTGGACCAAGGATGCCAGAATATTGATTGTATTAGCAAAACAATTGACGCACCATAGCCGTGAGCTCTGGGGTATGCTGCGCAAGAGGCCTCTTGACAACTGTTGATGCAGCCGATTTAATGTAGGATGGCTTTTGAGAAGGTAGTGGCATTGGAGGCGGGCCAGGTGGAAGTGGCGGTCGCATCATAGGTGGAAGTCCATAGGGTGGTCTAGGAATTAGTGGAACAACCATTACACCAGGGTGAGGAGGAAGAGGATGTTGGCCAACTATTCCAGGTGGCGGTAGCCCCATATCTGTAGCTGGAGGAGGTGGAGGAAACCGAGAAATTCCAGGTGGCAGCACATCAGGCTGCAAAGGTGGGATCATAGCAGACCCAGGAACAAATGGTTGTTGTTGCCTTGGTGGAGGATGAGGTGGTGGTGGAGCCATTCTTAGCATATCTTCTGTCCCTGCTGGGGTTTTAGAGTCGTTTTCAGAAGATGAGCCCTGTGATCTCAATAGTAGCCCAGGCGGTGGAGGTGGTGGGGGAAGCATAGATGAACCCTGTCATAGAATTTAGGAAGACAAATATCACCAACAAAACATTAATCATTAAACAACCAAGGAAAATGGTTCCTGTCATTTCACTTGTAGAGCCACAACTACGATAAGGGCCTGATTGGAACATGAAAGCACTAGAGAAAGAAAATAGATAAGAACATATGGGGCAAATGTGAAGGAAAAAATTATGAGGGAAAATATAACATTGGCTCAAAATTAAAACTCAATAAATTGACTTTTGATATATGTTCAAACTCTTTTAGATTATCCACTTTTGATATATAGACTGAAATCACAACACGCCTAACATTTAAAGAAAAGTATTAATCATATTTCATTTACTTTTGCATTTTATGTGGTAAAACCAAACACAATAAAATTTATTCATAGGGCATTTTTTCCGTTTCCAAAGCACTCCCAGAATCCAAACTTATGCTGATTGCATCAAGCATTTTATACGAGACCTACCTTGCTTATTTCCATAGATACAGGTTCCGCTGTTTTCTCGGAATGACCTTTTCCAGGTTCATTTTCAACAATGCCTGGTGGAGGAGGAAGTTGAATAGTTGGGTGACGTGCTGGGGGTGGGGGGAGTGATGAATGAGTTCCTGCATGTTCTTTTGGCGGGGGGCCAGGAGGTGGCGGTGGCAAAGGAGGAGGTGGCAATGATGTATTCAAGTCTGACGCTGCAGGTTTTGGGGGCATAGGAGGTGGAGGGGGTAAAGGCAGAGATTGAGGCATGATAGAAGCATCTACAGATTCTGCATTTTTGCTTGGGTACAGAAGTGCAGGTGGTGAGGTAGGTGGAAGAGAGGTGGTGGGTAAACCACCACCATCCTCTTCAGTCACTGACGATGATGCAACACCACTTGTTGAAGCCTCTGACAAGGGTATTCTAGGTCCTGCAAAACAAGCTGTATCAGTGTGATCTAGAGATGGAGATAAAGGTAAACCAACTTACTTGAGACAGAATAAACAGTTGTATACCTATTGACGATTTAAACATGGGAGGCTTTCCAGGAGGAGGAGCACCAGTAGGATTGAGTGTGGGGTGATAATAAACTGAATCCTGCATCCAGATGTGTTGTGAACTCGCAACTGTGATACAGTGTTGAGAAACTAATATGGTAAAACTACTAATATCAAATAGGAGTATGAGACATAAGTGAGGTCTTACTTCAGGTTTTGGGTGCTTGACCATATCTTCCTCTTCTGCAGTCCGCCTTCGAGGTGGAGGTCCTAAATGGCTGCAGCATAGAAACGAGAAAAAGATATCTTCACACCAACTAAAAAGCTCAAAGAAATGCAACACTGTCCTCCTCACACTGTCACATTATATAAATTACAGGAAAATGGCTTCTTCACCTGAACATAACTGGTGCTTCACCCTTTTCTTTCACTTTATCTTCATACTCCTGCCACGGTTAAACTTTTCATGACCAACACACTAACTTTGCAGTGGAGAATAGAGCAAACAATCAGCATTAAAGTTCAACACCAGTACAAGATGGAAGTTTTATTTCATTGCTCATTTTATTTCAAAGCGAAGAGATAATTAAATATCCCCCACCCCCTATATAAGCCTATTAGGTTGGGAGACTTTGGAGGGAGGATAAGGGGCGAGTGAAGATGGTCGGGAAGAAAGTGAAGATGAAAAAAGTTGAAGAAATACATGATTTACGAATAGAGATAAATTAGTAAAACAAAACCAATCATCCCTTCACCACCTCTCCTCCAAAATCCCCTGACCAAAAGAAAAGGAAACAGAGATGTCATCAAACTAGGCAATGGAATTTTGTGTAACAGCATTTGATGGGGGCTAAGGCAAGCTAAAATCAGTGAACTATTGCACAACTAAGAAACCATTTCAACCATAACAAGTAATACAGATTTTTAGAAATGCCATTATTTTATTGTATATTAAGCTTTATCTCAGAGAAAATCAATGTAACACGCAGGCCGCAGCATATGCCAGAAGATGGGTTGTGTTACAGTAAAAGCACCAAAAGCGAATATACCAGGAAATTACCTTCCTCTTCTTGAGAACAAGATTTAGGGTATCCTCAAGTTGTCTTTTCTTGTGTTTTCTTGCTTTATCTAAGGCACCTTCTGCCTCTGCCAAATTCATTACAAAGATTAGAAACTTGTATTCATTAGCACTTTCATAACAGTGTGTCACCTTTTGTAGCAATGGGCAATTAGGTCCACATATAGAATACAGTAATAAAAAGAAAGATGGAAAGAACTCAGGAACACAACTAGAAAACATTTTGAAATCATATCTATGAATGGCCTCAGAAAGGGGGTGTCTTTGTAAAAACTTGATATCCTATATATATAATTTATAGATGACTAAATCATCGAAATCCATTTTTTAAATGCTCACAAACTTGGTGCAACTTTAGAATGAAAAGCGAACAAACCCTGACATGACACTGAAAAGAGAACCAAAAGATCATCCTTTATAGCAATTAACACATGTAAATAGGTTTCCCCTACCAAGACAAAGAAAAATATTATAGTTGCATATTGAGCAATTGGAATTGAAGAACAGTCCCAATTCCAAAAGTTAATAATTTACAAAGTGAGCACGGCACTAGTAAGAATTAACAGTTTTATTTTGCAGTTGAACAAGATAAGCAAAGCATGATAAGCACACCACCAGTAAGATTTTACGGCCTCCTTTTACAGCCTCTCAGACATGTTTTATTAAAAAACTATCAGTATCTAAAACCTCGAGGCCGTAATACACCCTTAATAAGAACTTGCTTAAAATCATTTAGTGCATGTTCGGTAAACATAAGTCTCTACTTTCTAGCTTTCCTACTATTCAAAAGTCTCTAAAAGCTTCTAGTTAATTGTATGGTATGACAGTTTTTAAGAGTTTTTTTAAAAATAAAAGATCTTTTTTTAGATGCTACGGTGAGTAGCATCTGAGAAAAGTCTGTAGCTTTTGGCATTAATTAGTCCCAACAACTTGTATGCCAAATAGAACTAAATCAAACAATCAGCTTTTTATCAAACAACTACCGCCTTTTTATTTTAAAATCTTTCCAGTCACTAAAAGCTAACAGTTACTAAAAAGCTCATAAGAGTATCTTTCCAGCTAGTTGTGGAAAACATACCCTTAGAATCTTCCTTATTGTAGTCTTAAAAAGCTATTGCAGCATAAGCATTGTTGTAATTGCGCAATGCAATTGCGCCTCATAGCACGCCTGAACTAATTCCAAGACTATGTTGTAAAAGGCATTGCATATGGCGCTGGGAGTGTGGCGTACACAATATTACAGTGAGGCTTACGCAATATTGCATACGCAATAAGGCATTGTGAGGCGTATGCAATAGGAGGTTAGGCTATAAGGGTATTATTTGGGCTCACTCGAACACTCGGTGCACTTCTTAACTTTTATAATTAGCATATTCTGCGTTTATGATCCCTATTTTAAAATACTAGATAGTGATATTTAATTTTGCCGTCATCATCAATCTAATAAATTTAAAATTTAAATATGTTGGGAATTTTGTTATGGAATGTTTGCTATCTTGTGGTACTTCGAACATTTGACTTTGCTAGGATTATGATCCCATTATAAATTTGATAAATTTTGGTGAATAAGTTGTTTTTTATTTTTTTGTTGTTTATGTGTGTGTGTGCATGTATAATATGCCTCAGTCATACGCCTCATTGCGCAATGAGGCTTACGCGATATGCAATTAAAAAAAAACGGCACGACTATGCAATATGCAATTTCAAACCTTGGGCATAAGGTTGAGGCTTGATCACGTAATTCACTGATTCACATGCCAAAATAATTCACTTCACATGCCAACAATATTTCCGAACTGTCAACTAAAAGTCAGATAATACATACAAGTACCTATTTCCTATAAAGTATCTGGCAAATTATTTCATGTATACTTGTTGAAGATAATAAAAGGGAAAAAACACAAGAAACAGTAGCTTACTCATGACTTCTAGCTTCTGAATTTGATCTCTTATTTGCTCAGGATCCTTCTTCAAAATGCCAACTTCCCTAACCTTCTTCCTTTCTTTTTTATTCTGCAAAAAAAGCATGACTAATGTTATAAACTTCACAGTTTTTATACGAGTACACTACAAAGAAACTGTAATCAACCCAAATAGAACATGAGAACATACGGAACACAAGATGAAAAGAAGCTCAATCTTTTGATATGCTAGGAACATGCGATAGTACATCACAAATATAAAAAATAGTAGTAGATTCCATTGTTCTGATTTGTGCTGCATTTAGATGCATTATACGATTTCCAATTTGCTTTAGCTAAGGAACTAAAAACCCAAAACGAATGTATTCCTGAATCTTTAACAATCCGTAAGCAGAACGGATTGGTGAAGTTTTATGGTATAAAAACATACCCGTTTCAATTCGCGTTTGCGAATCTCCTTCCGATATGCATCCGTAGGGTTCATGACTTTACCACCCTTCGTCGTCTTCATTTCTCTGTTTGCTTCTGAGCCCTAACTCTTCCCTGCTGCAGCGTAGTCGTCCGTGCGCTATCGGCTATTCTTCCCCGAACCTGTAGGGAAATGGGAAATTTGGCACAGGTGAAGGGCTTCTTTGGGTTTGATTTTGGTTCCGAGCTCTTTGTTTCGGCATTTTAAGAGAGAAGTGGACAATTCCGTTTAAGTAAGGTTTATTAGATTTGAGAGAATTGTATCAAGTCCTGTATTTTAGAATTAAAAAATAAAAGCAAAGTTCATCTCATCTTCTTTTATTTATTATTTGAATAAAATGTAAAAAGAAATAAAAAATAGAAAAAGAAATAATACTAGTAAAATATTACTATATATAAATTAAAATTTCTAACATCCTTCCCATCACTAGATAAAAAATTCACTTCTCACAAAAAAATAAATGTATAGTTGATTAGCATTAATAATATCAAATAAAATATTCAAAGAAAATTAAATGGGTCAGTGGTGCAAATGTTGTAATATCCACAACTTTATTCAAATGAATCATGTAAAAAATATAAATGCAATCTGTCATTGTTATGGCCAAATATCTTTCCATACAAGTAGAGCACAAAACATAACTCATACAAATATATCGTATTAGCTAACTTTATCATAATGAAAGTATTAGCTGATTGTCACATTTTTCATTTTTGGACATCCCCCTATTATTGTCACATACCATATTTAGTAACATTTGTGTGACTCTAATTCATTCTTACTTTATTCTCACTTTATCAACTCATTATCAACCACATAATTCTACATTTCTTAAAAATCACACCACTTCATTTTGTCCCAATATTAGGGGGATGGAGGTAGTATATGCTAAATTTTTATTTTCATGTCTAAACTATTTATTTATATCCTAAAAATGAAGAGCGGAGAAAAATAGAAAGTATGTGCATGTGTGTGTATTACAAGTTGTTCGGTTCGGTTTACGGTTTTTCGGTTTTAAATAAAAGCAAACCAAATCATTTGGTTTGAGCAATTTGCTACCAAACGATTTACTTAAGCCACACCAAACCACACCAAACCACCAATTTATGATTCGATTCAGTCAAATCAAACCATTTTGTCCAGCCCTACTCTACACCGATACATGCGTGTTAGTCTGTGTTTGGATAAAAAAAACTTCTTGCAAATGAATTTAATTTTGTTGTAGTTTTTCATAGAGGTGGCCAGTGCTGCAAATGAATTTAATTTTCTTGTAGTTTTTCATAAAGGTGGCTAGGTCTGGATAAAACGGTTTGATTTTATCGAATTGAAGCGAAGTGAAAATTGATACTTTGGTTTGGTTTGAGTTCATATAAGTAAACAGTTTTATAACAATTTTTCAAACCAAATGATTTGGTTTTAAACCAGAAAAATGTAAACCGAACCGAACAACTTGTAATATTTATAAAACTACTTTGTAATTGTCTTATGTACTTCACCTTTAGAATATAAGTAAATAACTTAGATATGAAAAATACATGTGTTGGGATATTGGTTCCAGACCCAATATACCCGGCCTAAAGTAGGGCAGGACCCTGAGGAAATCATAGGGCCCAATTTCAGGAAATACTAACATCAAATACCTTCAAGGGGGTCCCGCACACCAAACGTGTCATCCGAACGGGTAGCCAGCTAGAGGAAGCCGCATTTAATGCTAAAGCATGACAGAAGCAAGTAGAGGCATGGGTGCATACGTGGCAGAGGTTACAGCCTACTAGATTCAGCCACGTGTCCATCTCTCCCATCGCCACCCTAGTATAAATATCTAGGCTTAATACAATGTAAAGGGGTTAGCATTTGAATACTCAGAGCTTAGCAGATAGAATTATCTCTCTTATTCTTGTAATCTTGTATTTACCCACCGTTCGGGTTGTTTCAGACTTTCAGTGTAATCGCAGAATTACTGAATACAAGTTGGCTCCTGAGTTGAATCTTATTCCACTATTTTATATTTTCATACACCTTCCCAAACCAACTTAACGTCCTTAAATATCCAAAGCTTGTGTTGGGCTTTCGGATCTTCGGGATTAAACCTCAACAACATGTATAGCATGTATAATTTTAACTTATACGCATTTCATGGGCTCATAATGACAAAATTAGCTAATAAGACATATTTGTATTAGTTATATTTTGTACTCTACCTGTATGGAAAGATGTTTATCGATGACAATATCAGATTGTGTTTATATCGATTTCAGTTAAATTAGAATACAATATACATTTTACACGATTTATTTGAATAAAATAATCAATTTTACAACTTTTTTACTGCCGAGTCATTTGGTTTCCTTTGAATATTTTATGTGATATTATAAATGCTAATCAACTATGAACTTATCTTTTGTGAGAGGTGAATCTTTTTTTCTAGGCATTGAAAATATGTTTGACGTTTTCATATCTTCAGTCATAGTAAGACAATTTAGGTGTCAATTTATATGGAGTAGTAATATTTATTATTTCTTTTTAAATCTTTTAGTTGCCTTCACATTTTATGTTAATAATAAATACAAGAAGATGACATGAACTGTTTTCATTCTCTATTTCTAAAATGATGATCTTATTCAAGGATGTTCAAGTAAACACTCAAAAATATAAAACCAATGGGAATATATATGCATGGATTGGCGAAATAGTTTATTTATTAAATTGTAAGGAGAAAATGTGTAATTTAGAACATCCAAAATCTGAATATTAGGTCCGCCACTGGTGATAACAAGCTAGAGTCGTGCTACCAACACCACTAATAATATGGTATGTAACTAAGTTTTTAAAAATTTATGATACTTTTTGTACATTGTCAACATATATGTTTGTTGTGTTTTATAAAGTCTCATGGGACTCACTAACGGTTGTAAGATCATGCTATTTCATTAATATCTCATAGAGCTTACTATTACGCCCTATCATTTTTTCTTTAATTTTAGTTGGAATTTTTCATACGATCCAAAATTTCCTTTTCTTACAAACTACTACTCCGTATTATATAATCAAATTTAGAGCAGATACGTTCAATTTCTTTCTTTATTTGAAAAGAATTACACATCACATACCATCGTAAATAACATAATTTTAAAGAAGTTGTTATCATATTCTTATCCCGTGCACGGGTATTATCCCGTGCACGGGTATTTAGTCTAGTATCAATATCTAAGTATCTTAGTTAAGTCAAATGAGCCTAATTGATTTTTTCCCCATTTCCCCTCCCAACTCCCCAATGCAAGACTGATAGCTGCTTGATCCGCAAATTTGAGTCACCTAATTTAAAAGGCTTGAAACTTCTGAAAGTGTGGTGTATATACATACTGCGTATATGATATATACGAAGTATATAGTATATAAATGCTCTTCCATTTAATTAAAAATATTTACTATTTTTATTTTGAGTAAATAAAAACGTTACATGACAATACGTTTAAATTAAAAATGTTCACAACTTTACCACATGAAGCATCATTTTTATAATTAAAATGGAACACCATAAATGTTTAAACGTCATTAAAATTAGATTATTCTCTTATTAATTGATAATTAAAGTCCTTATAATTCTTAGTCTTATTTGTTCAACTTTTCTCTACACATTGATTCATTGAACAAATCACATCGTTTTACAAGGGTGTTAAATTAATCAAAAGTTTTAATATTGGACGCAAATACACCCCAAAAAGCACTCACAATTTATGTTCCTCTGGAATGAAGGGAAAATTGAAATTATAGAGAGTAAATTGAAAAAAAGATCAATGTGCAATTTGTGCATTGGTTTCACAAGGGACAAATACAAAAAATAAAATAAAATAAAACAGTCGACATAGACAAGCAAATTAGAACAAATGAAGTATAACATACTAACCAATACTGAGTGGTAGTAAACTAGTAACCAATACAAAATAGCTAAATGAGAGCATATTTTTTGTTTGCATGTTATGAACCTCATTCATCAGTCATCACTCGTGCTACAAAAAACTACTATTGATACAACAACATTCAAGCCTTATTTCCAAACGATTTTGGGATTGACAAACATGAATTGATTCATGATGTCATAGTCAAAAAGAGAAGAAAGATGAGAAAAATAAAAAGATAAGATAAAATAAAATGAATAAGGTAAGATAAAATGGATAAAGATTTTCTTTTTAATCGTAAAACAGGCGGCTTTATATTAAACTCAAGAACGCATACAAGACAATATTCAGACATAATTTACAGATCCAATCGTGAACCCTAGGAGTAGACATAGAATCAGTCACCTCATACAAAGCAACTTGACTCGCTAAACCTGAAACGGGTAAATTTAAGCCTAAACCGAACAGATCTGAAACCCTGCCTATCAAAATAACTCCAAAAATCCAAACATTCAAACCATATCCACTTTGACTAAAACCAAAACTAGCACTACTAAAGAGAAAATAATATTGCAATAAAAACTTTCCGCAAAACTCTTCCTAGTATGAAGGTGGTTCTGGAGGAGGACATGCTCTTGCAATACGTATCAATACAAACTCAACCATCATCGAAGCGGCCGACCAAGTAGTGTTGGACCCGGGCCGGGTCGGGCCCGGGCCGGGTCAAGGCCTGGTCGGGCCTCGGGTCTTATAATGGTAGGCCCGGGACCGGCCCGGTCAATGACCGGTTCCGGTTCGGGCCGGGCCACCCGCCCGGGTCACGGGTCGGGCCACCCGCCGGGCCGGGCCGGGCCAGTACATTTTTTTTAATTAATTATATATTATACAAATTGCTATTAAAAACAAAGTTCAAGTGCATTTATTTGAAATAAGAACTACATTTGAGAATTGAGAAAAAAATAACAATACGAAATACATTTTGTAATGAATATCAATTGGGATTTCCGCCACCGTTGGTTGTTGTTTTCCCTTTGTCACAGGACTTCATATGTTTTATTGGCATCCCGTATCCGTATGAACGCCCCAAGCAACAGTCTTTCTTGCACCACCTGCAAGTTGCCCACCACAGTCCGGTCTTCGGGTCCTTCCACTTGTCAAAATTGTTTTGCATAAGGGAAGATGTACTTTCCATATTTAAAATGGTATATGTATAAGTAGGAATGTAGAATAATAAGAGAACATGAAGATGGAGAAGAGTTTGAGAAGAATTGGAGAAGAGATGTAGAAAAATGTTAGAAAATAGATGTATTTATAGATGTTT